AAATATTTTGTTAATGCCATGCGGAAATAATTTGATATATCAGTAAAATTTAGCATAATATTACTCTTTGTTTAGGATATTAAAGAAATGTAAGAGTAACAAATATATGTTAATGCTTATAACAAAGAGAAAGCAATTACCAGAATTATATGTTAATTTACTTAAAAAAATACATATCATGTATATATAAAATCACCTGATGAAGAAAATAATTTAAAAACTTCACATTCATGCGTCACCAAGATTATACTTCAGACATTTCAAACATTTTTGTGTTGTCATTCACATTTCTTTTATGCTGATAGTGGCTCATAATTCTGGAAGTGAATTCCCTTAGAGGAGGTAATTTTCATGACCGCTCCATTCAGGCTGTTATCTGTTATGATCTTCAACACCCCTTCAGCAATTAAAGATGGCCTACAAAGCAGAAAATACCATAAGAGAAATACCGTATTTTACAGGGAATACCTTTCATGGTTATGGTGTGTTTTAAGAGCTATCAGTTACTATGGCTTATGGGAATGTGAATATAAATTAGATCTGACCGTTTCACAATGCTTGAAAGCAGAACTGCTTCAGCAGGATCAGACATCTGATTAATATACACATACTGTAGTCTAAGTTGGACAAAGATATTGGCACGTGTGCATAGACACCAAATACATCATGCTGATGAGCCCTTATAACACCAAAACTGCTATCTCTTGTGATTAACTTGGACTTTAAAGAAGAATTAGGATTCTTTTGAGATGGTTATGCTTTCTAGCAATATGAAATGGTCTGAGTTAATTAATATTCATATAACCCACGACAGGTAGTAAATAAAGGAAACAACACCTTTGAATTCTAGAATTGAACAACTCCAGCAAACGAGTGGAATGAATACTCTTTACTCCCTGTCAGGCAACCATTGACTTGCACTATGTTCAATAATAATTCAAAATGACAATCTCAGAGTATTTTACATATAGAAGGGCACCCATTTCACCCACAACTAAAGTGCAATATCCACCTGGGTATTTCAAATTCAAGTGCCCCACCACTTGAACTGTGGAGGAACTTTAGGAAGGGCAGATTATTATGTCAAAAAGTAGATTTTATTTCAGGACAGCAGGGTTAACAACACTACTCTCACTCTACTGTTTTCAAAAGTGCCAAGGAATTTTTAATGATCAAGCAGTCAGGTCCTGCATCATTTTTACTATAGTATGGTGTCCCCAGTCACTGTCCTAATTCACTGGTTTGGAAATTCTGGTCCAGAGGTAAGAGCATCTTTTACCTGCATATGAACCGTACCCCTAGAACAATTTCAGGACCATGGAACAGGAATTAAAGTAATGAAAACAGAAATTTAATGGAATATTGTCACGCTGTATTTTGTTTCTGTCAGTAAGGGAAAATTAAATGTAGACATGTGTACAACATCCCAGTTTCCAAAGCAAATCATGACCCTACAATACCATAGTTCACATATGATGTAATGTACAATGCCGGATCTCACAAATAATTGAACCAGGATCATGAACTGACTTTGTCGTGACTGTCATGTTTCCTCTATGGCTTTGACTAAGGCTGCTGACGTACAGCAGCTAAATCAAAACCCAAACTGTACTCAAAAGCTAAGCTGTACTCAAAAAAGTCCAGTCACCAATATTGTGTGGGGGTCTTTGTTGTTGTGAGCTGCAAAAATATTCCCATAACAACGGCATAACATCATTCTGCACTTAAGCAAAGATGTTCAGTAGCACTAGCTAAGATGATCGCTGTTTGGGACAAGTCAATATGTAGAGCGGCAGGGAAAAATGCTTTATCCCCTTCGTGGCTAAATTATATTAAAAACGTATCAGCACTGCATACCCGATTTTTTAGTGTAAAGAGGAAGACCAAGAAAGATTTTTACAGAACTGATACATTTTTATGAACATATAAAGCCTTATATAGTCGGCTGTGTCTTGTTAAAGCATTGTTGACTGAGAAACTGATCTGAACATCAGCTGATATTTGTTTACTTACGGCAGTAATCCAAATGTATCCATCCTCTTCTTAAAATCGTCCTTATACTTGACAAATTTCCCCATTTTCTCTTCCTCTTGGACAGACTGGAGGAGTGCAGTATCAACAAATGCAGGACAGAGCACATTTATTCTCACACCGTAATTTCCTATTTCTGCAGCATCCTGGAAATACACGCAGATCACTAGGAATTAATCATTGATCACCTGAATAAACCAAATGGTGACAATAATTATATAGTTAAAATATAGTTAAAAGAAAGTAACTCATTGTGGATTTTAATTCAACCTCTAACTTTGACAGAATCTTGCCGAAACATGACATTGTACAAAGAGCATTAATTTCCAAAGCTGTCGAGATGAATATAAATCTGTTGAATACAGCATGATTCCACAAAATATAACATTGTTTTTACTCTAAAATTCAAAATAGACTCTATACCTTTATACCTTAATTTTTCTCTCAAAGTTTATTTTAATAAAGTATAAAGAAAGGGTATACTGTACATCATGGTGCCTTAAGTGTACTATAAAGCTACTAGACTTACTTGCAAATAGTATACTATGTACTTTCAAGTACAGATATTTTTAAAATAGCCACACCACAGATTTTGATCAGGAGCAACATGTATAAAATAACAGGAATGGGAGCATATTTATTCCACTGCTAACAGGCACACACACTATATAGACCTGACACATATTTTACATAGGCAGAAGAATCTCTCACAAACACACTGGAAAATAAATGTTCCATGTAATCATGACTGCATTTTTTTCTGAAACAAGAAACACAATTGATGCAAAAAGCAATGGAGCAAAAATAGCATGTTTGTACTGCTGCCAAAAGTCTACTTTAGTAGTAGAAGAATGTATTTATTCATTAATATTATATACTTACTGCTATGGCTCTAGAAAATCCAAGAACCCCATACTTCGTAGCTGTGTACACAGGCTGATGTGGGGAATGAAGGAATGCTAAAAAATAGAAATAATAAAAACATCAAACAAATAAAAAAGTGTTTGTCATGGATACTCGTGTTTTTTTTAGATAGAGTCTGATTTATTATATTATCACTTGGAAAGAACAGTTATGATAACCATTTGACCTGTGCAACAAGTTCTCTTTAAACTGAAATAAATTAAGATTAACATTTGGCTTAAGTACCCATGTGCAGCACATTTAACTTTAATAAAACCCAAAACAATAGATTAATGTAAACTATTTATATTTTATATGAATCTATTCATATTCACATCACAATTAATCTAAAATATTAGTATTCATATAAAATATTATTGTTTTCTAGCTGATGAAAATTATCTCCTGTTAACTTTGGGTAAACATTACACTTTACCAAATTCATATCGTTCTGTTAGTAAAGTACCATACCCAACAAGTAATTCCTGGCACAAATTAACAGCTGATCAGTATAATCTAGGAACATTACTACAGAACAATTTTGTTGGAACAGATAACCTAAATTAGATACCAGGTTAAGGAAATCAGTCTAGTAGACTGCTAACTCTTATTTGAATTTATTACGCAGTAAATGATGTTTATTCATGTTACAACAACTGAGATGTTCAATTCAATTTCAATACTGGGGGTTGAGGCCCAGAAATCTGTAAAGCTGCTCTGTGACAATGTCCGCTGTCAAAAGCGCTATACAAATAAAACTGAATTGAATGGAAAAAAGTTGGCATGTTCTCCCCAAGTCTGTGTTGGTGTCTGCGGTGCTCTGGTTTCCTCCTATAGTCCAGAAACGTACTGTAAGGGGTTCCCTGACTCTGGGAAAATGGGCCCTGGTGTGAGTTTGTGTGCCTGTGTTTTGACTGGCCCCTCTAGGAGGCCCCCTGCCTTGTGACCTCTGACCCTGGGTTGGAAGAAGAAGTTAGAAAGTGGATGGATGGACGTCTTCACTGGGTGCTACTTTATGCAGATCATAATTAATTCACAGCTACAGAGAATGTATTATTTATTAAATATTCCACCAAAATATTATTTTATAGATAACAGCCTCAATATTACTAAATGGATTTCCTTTATTTTTTAATAAGCGGATCCAAGATTTTTTAAAATACCTTTCCTTTAAGTCAATTATACATTACATTACAATACATTCTTCTCTACAAAATATTATACTCCACCTCTGCAAAACAACAAGCTGTTAAATGTCACATTCAAAGAAGAACTGTAACCCTTCCCAGATACAGTACAGTAAGTATGAAGGGAAGTTATTTTATAAAAATGAATTGCGAAATACATTGAAGATCAAAACGGTTAGCGTGTATATTTCTCTACAAGTGGTATTCTTTATGTAAAAGGTCATTGTTGTGGAACCTGGCTGTGCTCCAAATGTTAAGCAAAAATCTTCTGTGATTAATATTTATGTCTAGACTACATGTAATCTTCAAAAAGTACAAAGCTACCCTTTTTAACTTTTAAGAGAACAGTTAAGCAAAATAAAGCATAAATTCATTTAGATAAATTACTCTACTGAATCATATTTAAGAATATTATATAATCTACAGGCTAAAGCCCTTAACAATACACCTAGTTACTTAATTTTAGTTGCGTGTTCAGAATTTAATCGGCAAACTTTACTGAGACATTGAAGTACAACAAATGAGTACTGGAATGAATACCACTTCTTGTGTTTTTAATGCCACTCGATATACAACGCTTATTTTGGTAGTATCAATTTATATCTAAAATACTCAGGCCAGCAGTGAACTAATTCATAACTGCAGCAATTCACTCAAGGGCCTGGTATGTTGATACTTAATATCTAGAATTGCAAGGACTTTATACTCAAGCCACCTAGGGTCCATTGTCTGTTTTTAGCAGAACTGCAGAGAGCCTTCTGAAAGTAATAATCAATTTGCTGGAGTTATTTAGTCTGCTTTAATTATTTAAGCATTTTAGTCAGTACAAGATGAAAAGCAGATCTTACGGTTTCCATGATTACACAACCAATAGTTCTTTCAAGTTCTGTTTTCCATAGGCAACTCAATCATTACTTCATTCATTTCATTTTTACTGATTTATTTATTCCCATGTGTGACTGAAGGAGAAATCTGGTTTTGTTTTGCATAATTTCACCAGAGCCAATCCAACTGTGCGCAGAGACAACAAGAATGGATTATATCTAAGATTTTGAAGATAACTCTCTGACTCTGAAGCCAGTCTGCAAGTTGGGTAACCTTGGTAATGTATTAGTACATTATATACCATTACTTTACAAGAATCCATGAAAGAAGTAAAAACAAAAGTCAAAAATAAAAAAGTGAAAATGGAAAAATGAAACCAGCAAAAATCTGAGCCACACTTTCAGCACTGAATTCACACCAAAACTAAACATTTATCTCAGCTCACTTTCCTAGCTAAAGGAAGTTATGTGAAAGGCGCTAAAGTGCTACCATACGGGTACTGATGAAAGCAGGAAATTCAATTTCAAGAACACTGGGAAAATTAAAAAGCTTTAAGGCAAGGGAGATAGAATCCCCATTTATTGTCAGGCAGCCCAGATGGGCTCATTGAAATAAGCGTTAAACTAATCATAACAAAGTTCTTTCTAAGAGCTGCCCCCTTGTCACCTGCTGCAATCAGCAATGTGGCATTTTACAACGTCCAGCAGCTGGCCAGGTGAGTACTGGGGCATTCTGGCACTGCAGGCAGTGCATGGGTGTCCACTAACCCCATCAGTGAACACACTTGCCAAATGGAAGACCTACAGCATTCAATCCAAATGTGTTGTGAACGAGTGACTTCTTGGCTTCTTTACAGTTCTCTTTCAGGGTGTGGGTTTTCAACAAGTGCCCAGGCTTCCTTCCACCTTCCAAAGGCAAGCTGGATAGGTTAACGGAGGCCTCTTAAGTGTCCCTGTGCATCTACAGTATGTGCCCTGCAATGGGCTGGTACCTAGTCCAGGGTGCACTCCCACCTTGAACCCTGTGCTTCTAAAATAGGCTCCAGGTTACTGCAGTTGACTGGGAACAAGCGGTTTTGATAAGCCTTTTAAGAAAAAGAACAAGTAGGAAGACCGAGTGCTCTCTGAGTATTTTTGTATTTGTAGAACTCTATACAGTATCTATATACTGTTCTTCAATGGGTTTTAATACTCTTAATTTTATTTTCGGCTAGTACGGTAGCAACAACCTGTGGAACCTCCCTCAGTTCACACTCGGATTGGTGGCAAGTATCAGCACTAGCATCCTTGCACTGACAATTGTTAAATTCCAGAAAGAGGAAACCATTTTTCCCCAAGAGGAAATTCAAGTGTCAGTTTTTCACATTGACAAGAGAATTTGATGGAGACACATCGGTCTACCAGTTACTGTCCCCTTCCAAACACTTACAACGCTGACCCTTCATCAATCCCTCAGGACAGCAAACCTTCTCGTCATGTACAAGGTATAGCATGCTCCATCTGAAATACACCCACACGGAGACATCCTTCAAAAACATCTAAATGATTTTCACAAATCAACTAACAGAATCCTTCAAAAAAGGTCCAGGGACTAAAGCTTTTGTGTATCAACTTCACAACACATCTGCCAAACTGCAGTAGAGTAACCTATTATAAGGGCAAGATCTTGCCTTCCCTCATCTATACAGCTTTAACACTCATTTAGCCTACTGGTTGAATTCCCAGTGTGCATGCAGGCCAGAAGCATTACTGACTCAGGTGTTTTGCGGTTACAGTTACAAAGCTGACATACCATGGCCTCTAGTGACCATTCAGGATAAGTGCACCCAGGGTTTTGGGTATTTACGTGAGCGAGTCTATTTTCAGTTTATGTTTGATACTGTATAGGTTCTCTTTGTTATGCTGGCAGTGGATTCCTACCACTGCACCATCTTCCATGCAATAATGCAAATAAGTGTGCAATGTTTCAGAAGTTTAGAGTATGGGAAAGAAAAGCTGAGGTTTTACAAAAAGATGCTCTATGTCAATTATAGCTAATAATAATGTGAATAGTGCCCAATGCACTGTTCCCATCAAGCTAGGGCAGAAAAGCTAAAGAGACGTTGACATCCCAATCTTTCAAGCAACCATGAGAACACAATGCACTGTGCAATACATTTGTCTTCGCCTGGCAGGAAACGAGCAACTCGGCCACATTGTTGAAGTCAAACACTCGGAGAGCACAAGCTACTTCAAAGGCAATTCCCTCCCCCAATGACACAGACCACTTCAAATGAAGAACCCTCTTTAAAACTTGATGAGGCTCCTTTCGTTTTCCTTGATTTTTACTCTAGGACGGGCTTTCCATGCCTGTCATTGCTATAAGGGATGCGTCTTCTGTTAGTCAGAATCATACACTCGTCAGAGGAATGCCTGAGGCTCTAATTTCACTGTTTCCCCACAGTGGAACATAGTAAGGCGTAGAAAAAGTAAACAGCTATATCTCTAATGTGTACTGTAACTGAGCAGACGAGTCGGGACTGTGGAAACGGGATTGAAATGTCAGAGGGTGCCGTTGCGACACTCCCCACATTCTCACGAGGAAATTAGGGCCAGGCTGCACCTGGGGCACCAGCACTCAGTGTGCAGCCAGAGCTTATGCTAAGACCCCCACAGTCACTCGGGATGGCGAGCGCGAGAGATCTCAGGCCGTGATCCTTGGGAGGCATTTATCTTCAAAGGCTACCAAATATTCAGGTGGAGCAAAGGCTGGTAAAGTCAGTTCCTGTCAAGCAGCAGCAGCCTAGGCTGTTTCCATGTCGGCTCACCAGTAAGGGAGAAGGCGGGTGGGAGAGAGGCCGGCCAAACAGAATCAACCATGACTGGGAGTTAAACAAGCAGTAGAAGAACTACCACAGGGGAGGCCATGACAGTGACATCAGGCGGGTCCCTGGGCTGGGCTAATGTATAAATCAAGGCATTTCACAGGGGCTACAACCAATGATAAATTGTTAGTGTTTAGAAGAAAATTATTTCCCCTAAACACTTACTTCACCTAACCAGTAAATCATGCCTAAAAGCAACTAGTGAACGAGCAGAGGTTAATTCCATACTGAAAGGTTTAACGTAACGACACAATGTTTTAGGATTTAGGATTTAGAGTGCGAGATCGAAGTGACAGAGGCAAAAGTCGGATCTAGGGAGGTCGAAGAAAAGAAAGACTGGGAACGGGCAGGTGAAAGGGGGGCTAGAGGATTGAAAATCTGGGTGATTAATTCCAGGGAAAGTCTTAAAAAGGCCCCTCAGACTCAATCAGGAAGCATATACTTGAAGAATATAGGAAGAATCCGAATTAAAAAAAGTTTCATCCAAAATTTAAGATTTTTCTTTTTCACAGGGAAGTATTTCCAGACCAAGCAATGTAATATTCATGGCTCACATATACGTAGGTCAACGAAGGTCTGCCTTAGAGGTGTAACCACTCTTGTGACAGGACGCTGCTGCGATTTCAGGATACTATGAAGCATCAATACACTTTTTTTGCTTGCCCTTAAACTTCTTTCTTTCCTCCTACTATTTGTCTTCTGATTTGAGATGTTTATGATCCTGTCTTTCAAAATAACTGCAGCTACATCGATTTTCAAAATACAAACATGTGTGCTAATCTATCAACAATGACTAATGAGGCAAGATACTGTAAGACTGCTCGTAAACTGAATACATTGGTCAGATAACTACAAAGCATGAGTCACTGAAAGAATAGATAGCAGTGAGCAAATTCCAAAAATCTGGATTGCACTGTGTGCGCACATATTTTGACAACTTGCATGTGCTATCAATTTGTTCATTTAAACAACACATGACTGCCCGAGTTTCTCCAGGTCAGACATTGTGCATCGATGCTGTTTGGTGGAAAACGAGGAATAACATCTCCTCCCCTGCTCTGAGTTATCCAACAATGGAAGAATGTAGCAGATTTCCAATACATGCAGCTGCAACCACAATACTCAACAATACTACTGGCAACTAAACTGAGCGACACTATTTAGATAAGGAGCTAGGGCGTTATAAATAAAACCTTGTCCTTATCCTCGTGACGCACGCACCTTGTTTTAAAGCAGGACATTTTAACTACAATGCCAATATTAAAACCGAAATTAAAAATCTTGAAACAAGACTAAAAAAAAAATCACATTATTGTCAGGTGTGGGAAGACGAACACAGAGATGTAACTTTGGACATTACTTCAACTGCAAAAAATAATAATTAATTGCACGTAGTGTACATAGTGCATATCATGTGAAAGGATATCAGAGCACTTAACATACAGCACAAGAGGGGACCCAATTCACGAGCCCTATTGTGCTGTACCCAGCTGGGTGAAACATGGCAAAAATTATGCACCAGAATCCCCAATTCACAACAAATCAGGATTGAGGATCTACTCATTTTGCATAATTGAAAAATGCATTTTAGCCAGGGCACCAGGGTTAACGCACCTACTCCTTTGAAAAGTGCAAATGCCATTACAAAAAATACTTCTTTAATAACCAAGACATTGGTAAGAAGGTTTAAGGTCCTATCTGAAGGAAAGAACCTCCTAATATCCCCCAGGGGAAATGGTTTGGAAACTCTGATCCAGAGGGAAAAGCCATAATGACCAGACCTTAGCTCCTGAGATCCGATACATCTGATCTACAAGGTGGCGATGCTGCTGACAGCAATCTTTATGAAAGTGTAAAGGCTCAGCAGCCTGTGCTTATTTCTTGCATGTCACCTTGTAACAAACTACAGTACAACCATCTTACACCGCTTACAGGCTCATGCGTTCTTCATTGCTTTCATGCCTAATGAGCATTATTGGAGTATGCACACCTGCTACAAAACACAACGCTGATGCTTTCACAGAGACAGAAATTTAAAGATAAAAAGCTTTCGAAGCCATTCCTCAAAAGATGCAGGGCTTTCACGATTCCCCAGGAGCCACATTAACACACGCAGGTGTCTGACAACTGATAAGGATATCCCCTTGAATTTCACTACACTTAATTTATAGCAGCAACATTCTGCGATGTAATTATAATACACGTTGCAACATGACGTGGGGAAAAAAAGTTTTTTAAAGGCTTTTTCTTTTTCACTGTTTTTTCTATTTGAAGAATTTTGTGAGTCAGTGAGGAGAATACTACATACTACTTTAAGCAAAAATGATCATTTAAGATTTTGATAAAGGCTATGCACAATTGCGTTTGGAATTAACATCATAATACTACATTTTGTATGCCGGTTTAACATTCCTGAAATGAACTAAGTGTCCCGGAAATAAGAATCCAGGAAACCTTGAAGGAAACCTGCAGGCTTAAGGGGTAAATGATTACTGAGAGGAGGATGGCTGGCCATGGGAGAACCTAGTACAGTGATCGATGTTTTTAAGTGTTGTGCACCTTTGTGACGTCTGTGTATAACACAAAGGCACCTACTTGGCCTCACCTGGCTCTGACTGTGGAAGCACTAGCACTAGTGGTTCAGAATTTATACATTAGTGAACAAAATGCGCTGTGATTAAATTAGGCAGTGAACACATACTCCCAATCTTTATACACCATCCTAATATTCCCAATGGATGCATGAGGGTGCTTGTCATGATCTTTCTTCCCACTGCACAGTACATCCCTGGTGATGAATATCTGGATATGTTCCAAAATGCAGTCATTTTCTCATTCAGACCTACAGTACGGTATGTGAAATATTAAATGAACAAGCTGTTTCACTTTTGCTATAAAAGCCCAAACAGGTACAGTGTATAATATAGGGGTCACTGATACTCATTTTCTTCTGCCTGGACACTCTATACTAATATTTACTTTCCATTTAAGGGTTAATGCTAAGAAAAGCTGCATACACAGATACACAGGTCTTAATAACTTTTTTTTCTGAAAACAGGTTCATTGACTTAATGTGTAATGGTGAGGCTACCGAATTGTCATACACAAAAACGCAAAAAAAAATGCTTAAAAACCGTACTGCAAAATAACATGTTGCATAAATATACCAAGAGCAGTGTTACTGTAACTGCATCTGCAGCAAGTCCTTGTCAGCTCTCCATTCCTCAATGATGTCTTTCATCATTTCCACTCAATTCCCTTGACCTCTACAAGCTCTTAGCTTTCAACTGAAACTATATCTCGTTATGGACCATCACAAATAATAGCTTGCCTGTAATGGCATTTGCACAAATAGTTATAAACAATTAGTCACGTTGCTACATTTTGCCGTTTGGTGTCTATGAAGATTTTGAATGTCATTCAAATACAGCAATATCTTTGTAATTAATCTGAATGCGTGGTTTTGCAGCAATTTAATACATTTCTGAGAAGCTGGGGTATTTTTTTCTTATGTGGTTAGAGAAGTTAATATTCAAATTAAGTATGTACAGTACATGGAAATACACAGATTTAAAAAATCAACTATTTCAATTTCTCAGTTTTCGCAAAGGACCCTAAAAATGTATGTCATTTTTTATTTTAATTTGGAATTGCACAGGGAGAATGTATTCTCCATTTGTATTTTGACATGCTGTAGGCTCCGCAGTTAGTGCCGACAGGAGCAACTTTTGTCAGCACTGATGTTGCAACAAATGTCTAGGGTTCCTTCAGATTTCAGGTTCCTTATTCAGTCAAAAGCTGACAGAACCCTGTAGTATAACCTTCCCAGCCCCAGTGGAATTCAACCAATTGTGTGTGTCCATTTGAGAAATCCTGGTCACAGTCAGCCCGTGAAATGCGCCAGGTTCAAACTTGGAACATCTGGACCACAGAGCTCAGCCTGTGCTCTAATTGTGTGCCTTCGTTAGTTCAGCACCCAGTGATCCCATTCCTAATCCACATAATGAATCCACTTAAGTCGTTATGATCAGACATGGAATGAGAGCCCTCAAGGACTGGAGCTGTTCATCCCTAATGTAGACCTTCTGTACAGGTTATAAAATATTACCCATCTGAAGCCCTACTAAATCATTACTTCAGCCCACCCAGCACCTGCAAAATACAAACCTAGTGCTTCTTGGGGGCCAATAAGATTTTTGCTCCCCACCATGAAGTACAGGGTTTCAATGTCGCCATGTCAGGGCTGGAATTTAGAAAAGTGTGTCACTAGTAACGAGTGTTTCATCACAGGCAGAAAAAAAAATCCTCTTCCTTGTGAGATGCAGATACGACCAAGGAATTTACTTTTCTACTCAGCATTTTAGCCTGTATGTTGTTCAAAGGGAACAGGCGATTCTATGTTTCAATAAATATTTCAAATTCGGGAAACACGGGTTAAAAGGAGGGGCTAAAAGCTCGCAGTAGTTCTGCTCCTGGATGCTACACCAGACCATCACAGAGTAAAGAGAACGGGACAAATCAGAATATGCCACCAAACCTAGCAAGCGTGTTTTTTCGGAAGGTGAAAGAACCAGAGCACCTTAGTAGGGCCCTGCAGCTTAGAAGCAGTAGCAGCTGATATGTCAACCAGGAGAAAAGCCATTTTACATATGCAAGTTATTTTCAACACTATGTAAGCCACCCTGTGCATTGTCCCAGTGCTTGCAAGGGTTTTCCCAAAGGTGATCTGTTTCTTCCCACCTTCCACACATGCTGGCTGGTTCAAGTGCTTTCTCTTATTCATCCCTGTGTCTGTCCTATGAGGGACTGTTGTGCCTTACAGTATGTCCTGTTGCTGGGTTAGGATTTGGGATATGTTAACCCTCCACAAGACAGAGTGAGTGACTTACCTGCCATGGATGAAATATTTATGATCACACCTCCATCCTTCCCATACTCTTTGCTCATGTGATCTAGGGCCAAGTAAGTACCTTTGATGACTGACGTCTAAGGAGGAGACAAATATAAGCAGGACAGCTGAGTTATTCATCATGGTCTGTCAGCTTTTAACATTGATCATTGCTATCGACTAAACTAAGAACAGAAAGTTACAGGATCTGAAATTAAAATTCTGTGATACTTTAATACATATAATAAACATTAATCAAAGACAATCCAAATAACAGATCTAACTGTAGTGAAGTACAATTGTCTAGATATACTGTAATTCACACAGGGGAAGTATATTTCATAACTATACATGTTGAACTCATCTGACTAATAAAGGTGGGGTGAACAACATCATTTAAAAACCTTTTCGCTTGTTGTTACTAAATTCTACAAGACAACAACAAAAACAACCACACAGACGTCACAGCTGGTCCAAACCATTGCCCAATTCATGATGCTTATTTCTTAACATTCAAATTAAAAAAAATAACCTTCACTCCACACATCGATTTTTTAACTCCTTTACCTGATTTACGGTGGGAGCAGAGGGGGACCCAGAGGCTGTCACCCAAGGCAGGACACACCCTGGACAGGAAGCCTGTCCCCCACAGGGCAGATGCAGACACAAACATGCACACACTCACACATGGGCCATTTTTCCAGAAGCCAATTAACCTTCCAGTATGTAATTTTTCAAGAGACTCATTAAAGAAATATGTAAAGTACCCATACATACACAGGAACACAAAGGGCCTCCTAGCACGTTTACGAATATATATTTACCAAATTAACTTCGATTGTCTTTTCCCAGTTTTTCTCATTATTGATCCCGGCGTTGTTGATAACGATGTCCAAACGTCCAAAGCGGTCCACTGTTTTCTTGAAAGCTTCTGCACGCACAGAGGGGAAAAAAAAAAACCTTCACATCACAAAAAAAAAACGGGGAATTTTCAAGTATGGTGTATAGCTCTGTCCTGACGCATTGAAACTCAATTCCAGATGAAGGACGAGGATGAAACAGTTTTAACAACTTATAGAGCAACATTCCCAACCACATAGCTTTAGGCAGTTATGCAACTTCATACCAATAGTAACTAATTCATGTTAAACAATGGAATCCTGTTCTTGGCACTCTGTTCTTAAAGTACAAATGTTAACAAAGAAGTGCAAAAGAAGGATCCGCAGGCATTCTTTAATCCCGAACTTCTCTGGGATTCTAATGTTCTTGTTATTAATATTGTTTTACTCGCTGCAGAAGTGAAAAGTAGCGTTTTAGGAAAGAATGGTTAGATTAATCATTCTCAACAGAAAACATCTGATTACCTTGCAGTTCCCCTCTGTCAGTTACGTCACACTGTATGAAAGTTAGGTTTTCAGCTCCAAACTCTTGTGAAAGCTGAGCTCTGCACGCTTCCCCCAGTTCCTCGTTTAAATCGACAGCAGCGACCTAAGCGTGAGACAACAACAAACCAAACGAAAAAAAAAGAGAAGTAAGCGACTGAACGCAAATCATACCAGAGCTGCAGAAGTCGTATTTTGAGGAAAATCGCGTCACGGTGCCGAAACGAGCAAAGCTGAACCGTGAAGCAAGACATAACCCCCCTCAAATAAAGACATTATAGGAACTGGAACGCAGATAATAGTTACAAGGTTTATAAAGACGCTCAGTACGCGATTTAATTTAAGACGTGCAAACCCGCGCTTAATGTACCTTTGACTCGTTTTTGAGAAGGATCTCCACAATTGCTCTGCCAATTCCTTGCGCTGCTCCAGTCACCAAAGCTACTTTTCCACGCAGAGCCATACTTGTAATAGGAGAAACGCGGCTTGAGCTCCGGGAATCGCTTTGTTCCCTCAGCTGAGCGAGAGGGCGGTCGTCACTTCAGTAAAGCAAAGGTAACCTGCCTTTTTTCGCCCAAGGCACTGGTATTTACATGGAGATAGTTGTCAGTCACTGCTGAGTCGTCACTTGGGGTGGTGGCGTTTCATTTGTCGGTAGAAGTGCAGTCACGAGCACCTCTCGCAGTTGTTTAAATTTAGATTTAGATTTTTCTAAGCTTGATATCTGTGCGGATTTTACTTTTATAATAAAGTTCGTGTTTAATTTTCTTTTGCCTTTTATGTGCTTGAAACACCTTCCACAAATAGTACACAAGGTACCAATTAAAAACTTAAATCTCTACTAATTAATTTTATGGTGGGTGATTGAATTTATGTATGCTTTTGAGCACGGTTATTAAACAGTATCAACAACAATATAATATATATAAGTACCGAAATTTTTTGCCATTCGCTGTGCTGGTGTGGAAATAAGGAAAATAAGTTTGAATTTGCGTGAACTGGTAAATATGATACTGTAGCTCTTTATGCCTTTTCCCCCGTGCAACAGAGTAACACCTGCATTCGTTTTTCGTTGCTTTAAAAATACATAGTCACGATTTGTAAGTTATGTTCTTTCCTAGTATTGCAGAATTTTCTGTTATCCTTTTGAAACTCACGATTAGTCTTTCAGCGAGTAAGTTAAGCAATTAAGTACGTAATGTAAAAAAGTCAGTTTTTACCTAAACAGTCTAATTTGAACTTTGGGTTTTCCGTGTTTAATTATCTGAGCTTTTTTAAATAACATTTAATACAATTTACATGTCTGTTCGTGTCGTTTTATTTGCATTCAGAAACACACTGCATTGATGTGACCTTAAGTCTGTAAATCCCTTATGTAGTGTAAATTACTACAACAAAGTCCATGTGACTTATAGACTGGATAATTGCCAGTCTGCTCGGATGAGCCTATATTAGGAATCAGCTCAATGAGATGTAAGTGCAGGTCCAGAGATGCACTTCTTGAGTTTGGCAGGAAGATAAGCCTTCACTCCAAATGCAGGTCAAGTGTTTGAGTTCAGTAGTTTTATGGACAATAGAAAGCAGATGTTCAGCAAAGTTGTTACTGAGATGATTGGATACTACGGTTCAGTGAAGAGCAAGAGCCAATAGCATTAGGGCAGTGGAGTCAGAGAGGGACCCAGGTGGCTGGAGAGACTTCCACACTACTTTCAACACTAGCAATGCAAGAATTCTGACTTAAAGGCACATGGAAAAAAACATGCAAAAAACCTCACCAAAAGAAGATTCAAAGGAGGCATACAGTGTAGACTACCAGCCTGAGAAAGCTTTGGTATATTTTTTTAATGGAATAGCAGAATTAGCACATAACGATTTAGTCTGGAGTTGCCCCTCATTTAAGGCTTGGTTTTCGATTAAATCCTGAAATCCTGTTACATGCCAGCTTGACTGAGCCCCTTCTTCTTTAGGCAAGCTAAAACTTCCACATCACCTCAAAGGAGAGTTAGAGCCAAGCTGCTGGAGCACTGTCTCTCACTATCAACACTGCAAGTTCGCATCAGAGCCCAGATGTGGCTTCACATTGATCATGATTTTATGTTAAAAGTTTCAAAGACCATGGCAGTCTCCCAGTTGTGCACCGTTTCTTACAAAACCCCAGTGTGCTATGTAAGCACCTTGCAAGCATACAGTTTGATCTAGATTTCCTGGACTTTCTGAGAGCAGGCACAAGTACATCCTCCACCCTGACTCTGAACATCAGTTCCCCCCAAGGCTGTGTGCTCAGCCTCTCCTCTACTCCTTATTCACCCAGGACTGCGGCGCCAGGAACAAAGCAGCTTCATCATTAAGTTTGCGGACAATACAATGACCTTCGGCTTGATCACAAACGGTGACGAGGAAGTACTGTAGAAATGCCGACAGCATGGTGCCAGGACAACAACCTCTCTCTGAACACCAGTAAAACTAAGGAGTTGATTGTGGACTACAGGAAGCATCGAGGAACAGACAACGTACCCATTCACATCAGCGGTTCTGCAGTGGAGAGAGTCAACGGTTTCAAATTCTTAGGTGTCAACATCACAGACGATCTAACCTGGACCCACCACACCAACCTCATAGTCAAGACAGCACAGCAGTGCCTATTCTTTCTCCGCCGACTAAAGAAGTTCTGCATGCCATCACTCATCCTTTCCAATTTACAGTCTTATCCAGCTGCATCATTGCCTGGTATGGTAACTCCTCCACCCGAGAGTGCAAGGTGCTCCAGAGGGTGGTGAAACTGGCACAAAACACTACCGGCTGCGTGCTACCGAAAATCGAGGCAGTAAGACTGCTAAGCAGCCAACCACAGCAGACACCTGCAATTACCCAGCAACTGCTGGTGAATAGGCAACCACTTGAACTGATAGGGTGCACCGGCGCCCTCCTGTCACTTTGCACTCTCAGGACACGTACAAACAGCGCTAAATACCTCCTATCCTTGTGTTACATTCGTACAATCTGTAACTGCATTGTAAATAGCAGTTGTATAATTTATCGTATCATAATCCTAATCTAATCCCTATAAATTCCTTTCCTTCTACTCTTCTATCCCTCTTAATGAGTTTGTGGACAAAGCCTTTCATTGCTGACAACACCACTGTATGCTGTACTGTTCTTGCATTGATAAATAAACTTTGATTGATTGAGTTTTTAATTATGTTTGTAGCACATGTAACATGTTTACTGATAAGCAAGACCACAAATATGTGCAGCAGTTGTGGGAATTTTATTTGAACTATTTCTCATCTACTGTACATTAGGTACTGTGTTAGGAGTCATATTGAATGATGAATTTATATGTACTGTACATACAGAATATGAGATAAAACAATAGAGAAAAACAAAGAACGCAACCAATATGTCAACCAGTACTAAAGAAAACAACATCTTTGGAGGCTGTACTAAGTCAGCACAGTTTTGCTTGCTTCACAGCCAGCAGAGTCAAACGAGGCAAGACATCACAGTCAAACACAGTCTGTCAATGATAGGTCAAGATCTTGGAATCCACGTGCCATGGCACCTCACCAAGATCAATGGGGAGGTCAAAGTGTTATGGTCTGACCAAGAGTGAGCAATACAGAATTCCACTTGCAGTGACAGCCTGACTGCACACACTACATTGATGATGTCCAAGAACCTTTCCTGAAACTTTTTGTTTTGCGCACTGTAATGTGACAGATTTCCTGCAGGACAACATACATCTTCATATAACATCCTTGTGTAACAAGGGCTTTCTTGCAAGGTGTCAATATAACAACTAGGTTGTGGACGCACTTCTTGCAAGACCTAAACCTCATTGGACATTTGTGAAATGAGTTACAGTAGGATGACCTGTGGGATCAAAGTATCAGGGGGCAATGAACATGCTTGGAAACACATGATATCAAAACACGTGTCAAGGATAACAACTTAAATCTTGAGATTGATAGTGATGAATAATGAATTATACTCATCCCATAATCATCTGGTTTATCAGTTCTTCATTCCCACACAAGAAGAGAGAGAAACCTGTGACTGGATATGTCGGAGCAGTGCCCAATCCTCTTCTGCTGGCCTGGCGCTGCCAGTCAGGGGAAAAGCGAGTGACTTCACCGAAAGCTTTGAGGCTTTGCGCTGCAAGACAGTTCTCCAGGAAGGACCTCTTTATTAACACTGAGCTGAACTAGGCTTGGTGAAATTCATGCACAGAGTTTAACTCTGGTCCAGGTGAGTGAAAGGGGTGGGGAGAAACTTGGTCTGCTCCCGGGTGTAGCTGATACTTCTGAATGAAAGTGTATACGGGTCAGTTGATGAAAACCCAAATGTAGTAAAGCAGGTGATCACATGGAACAGTGGCTGGGTAGCTAGTCATAAGGATTCGCTGTGTAGAGAGCACCTTCGGCAGAATTCTTTGTATGGGCTTGCTCTTAACCTTCACCTGTTCGTCTTGGACAAACGTTTAAGTCCTGAGGCAGTCTCCTGGTTTTGTTGTCAGCTCGCCAAGCTGTGATTGAGAGCAGACAGAACAAGCCGTGCTGTATCTTTTAAACCAGGAAATCATGGTTAATTGGTGATTGGTTGTCATATCGTGGTGTGTAGGCTTTCTGTGCACCCTACAGGTTCCACATTGGTTGTTCATTCTTCGGGGTATTGACTGTGTCCTCTGACCCGTGGTTTTACTAAAGAGAATCTCCCTTCATGGGTACCAGACTGAGAGGATCCATGTTGGATGTTCATCATTCAGGGAGATTAAGAATGGTCCAGTTGACAATATCCTGATTTGTATCACTTGGATATGCTGCTCATTAGAAAGGGCCCATCTCCTCTGAATTCTTGCAAACTTCAGTCCATGAGGCTGCTCTGTAGTCAAAGCCACAGAGAGGCCTTTTAAAAACAATATTTAATTTTTAGTTTATTGATAAGCATTGCTTGCTACTACAGTACTCTACAAAATAAAGATTATCATCACAGTTGAATGTAAATTGTACATTAAAACAAGGGAAATAGTTATGAATGAATGCATTTTTCTGTAGATCTGTTTGGGTAACAATAAAAACAAGTGAAAGAATGCCAGATACATCTCATGAAGCTATAGGAATGTCACATGCATTAGTGCACTTTCAAGTAGGTCACAAACTTTTCAGTGGAGTATAAGAGGATAAAAAAAGGTTAAAATCACAGTACACATCTGGTTAGAACTGCAGTGTAGACTTTAACTGAAATGTGCTGACAAAACTCTTTCTTATCTCTACTTTTCCTTATCTTTCATTCTGTCCCATGTAAGTTGCATTTAGCCATTTGTTTTATCTGTTGCTGTGGTTGAGCTGAAAACACATCTCGATTATTTTTGTACATACTATATTTGCATGTTTAACTAGCACAAACATAATATCAGTGCAAATTACATGTGCAGTTATAGGAACAAGTAAAGGTTTACTCCATGCTGAAAAGAGAAGAAAAGAAACATAAAGTTTCGGCTGTGGAGCTTTCTTCAGGTGTCGGGTGTCTTTTTCAGGTGACACCTGAAGAAGGTTCCACATCCGAAACATTGTCTTTTTTTCTCCTTTCTGCATAGAATAAACCTTTACTTGTTCCTTTGCAGCCTATGCATGCTGACGCAGCTACCTACTTGACCTATGCAGTTATATTTGCATTTTGCAATCCACCTTGTGATTTCTATAGTAGACAGCATGTA